GTTCGCGTACTTTTTTCACATACATAGTAAGCACACAGTAAGCTCATCGGTCGGCACAAAAATCCCACCGGATAACGCAAAGACCAAACTCAGGACAACTGCGGATTTTATATGAGGTGGTTAAGGGAAGGCGGGCGACTTCCACAACCATGTCGTAAGTGTGGGGTCGGAAAACAGACAGAAGTATCCTTTGTAAAGCCTGCGGTGCGAATAGGGTGCATCATATTTTTGTTTATAAACAGAAACAAGCAAGAAAAAGGTTTGCTAGCGTACTCGCCGAATTAAATTTGACATTTAGAATTGATTTCGGCATTTAGAATTAATTTTTATTTAGAAAAATATCTCCCCTAATGCATACCAACGAGATTTGCGACACTCGAGATGGATACTGTTAATAAACTTCTGCAACTATATGACCAAGTGTAATCAGCGGACACGCGCTGAACACCTCTCTTAAGGCTCTTCAAGCGCCCGCTGCCTCAACACACACGCCAAGAAATGTCACTCCGCCTATCCCCAAACCGCGCAAGCGCAGCCCCGTCAAGTCTACCGATGATGAAATTGATGCATACATCGATGAGCTTCTGGCTGAAATGTCATTAAGGCGCAGACCACAACGCCCTACAAGGGCTCCTCCCCCACCACCCACGGAACTTAAGTGGGATGAAAAGAAGACCTTCAGCTATCATCTGAGAGCCTGGAAAATGTAGGTGACGAAGGGACACCCCTCCGAACGCGACTTCATGGCTTTCCTCAAAAGCGCTCAGCCCTACATCGAACGCAAACTTGTCAAGGAGCTATTAGCTCTACGAGGAGTTAAGTTTCAGTTGGCAGTAGAGGTTAAGCTTCGGAAGGATGAAGCAAATGGTACTGAAGTGCTTCAAGCACCAGTGTTCCGGACAAAGCAGATCACGCTGCTACAGGAGCATGAGATTTCGGAAGCTCTACATGAAGCCTTCCAAACTATCCTGGAGAGATTGAAAAAGTTCACTCGGGAAGGGTCTGCGTGGATAGTGGATCGTGTCAAAACACTCTGGCTTGACATCGCTCACTACCAGCCTTTCACGCGGAGGCTCATACCTTTCTCTCCACACCGCGGTCAAGAATAAGAAGGCAATCGTCAACGTGAATAACAAAGACGACAACTGCCTCCGCTGGTCTCTAAGTGCTGCGCTGTTTCCTGCAGCTAAAGACCCGCAACGGCCTGGCAAGTATCCCACTAAAGACGGCCTTGACTTTGCGGGAGCGAGGGCATCCACACCGCTCTCCCAGCTCGAACGAGTAGAGCGTCAGAACGACTTTGCTATCAACGTGTACGTGTGGGAAGGTGGCATCGTTCCTTGCCATCTGAGCAAAGTAGAGAGAGCTCGCAAGACTGTGAATCTCTTCCTCGTCTCGGATTCGAAAAACCCCGAGAAACACCACTACACTTGGATCAAGGACTTCAACAGGCTTCTCAACCGGGAATCGAAGGACACCCACCGGCTGCACTTCTTTGAGCGTTGCCTTCACGGCTTCACCAGACAGAATTTGCTGGAAGAGCATAAGCCTGAATGTCGAGTCATCAACCAAGCCGCGGTTGCCATCAGAATGCCAACACCCGGAAAAAACGACAAAGTCCGCTTTGAGAACTACCACAAACAACTCAAAGTGCCCTTCATAATCTACGCCGACTTCGAGAGCCTTGTCCGCAAAATCGAGGGCCCCGCGCTTAACCCTGAAAAGAGCGACACCCATCAAACTTCCAGACACGAGGCATGCGGCTACTCGTACATAGTCGTTCGTTCTGACGGGGAAACGCAGCCGCCGCAGATCTACCGATGGCCTGACGCGGCCAAGCATTTCCTGGATGCGTTCCAAGAAGAAGAGAATTAAATCAAGACGGTGTTGGCTAACCCCGAGCCTATGCACATGACAAGAAAGGACTGGGGGAGCAACAAGAAAGCCACAAACTGCCACGTCTGCAGCAAGCCCCTCGAAGGCGATTCCGTGCGAGACCACTGCCACATTACTGGCAAGTACCGAGGTGCAGACCACAATCAGTGCAACCTCAAGTTGCGGCTCAACCCGAAGACGACAACCATACTGGTTGTCTTTCAGTTATTGCCTGGGCCTCCTTGTACCGACTTGCTACGGGACGACCGTCAATGCGTATTTAATGTGCGTCTTCCTACTCCATCGTGAGGCAGAAACAAGAGATCGGCTTGGTGGACATCATTCGGGGTGCTGATGTCAAACGTAGGTCGTCAGGACCACCGCCAGTGGTCAGAGGCACAAGGTCGAGCACCTTCTGGTCATTAGCTAGAGTGTCTTCGCCGAACATTCTCCTTAACCTTTTTAAAAGCCCCTCTACAGAACCATCTTCTACAAACAGCCGCCCCGCCAGGACAGCATGGCGCCCGCAGACAGCCGTTGCTCGACTCTGTACTGCAAACGTATTCGTAACCACGACCCGCACAGGAAAGGCCTCCAGAAAATATTTGCGCAGCTGGGGCTTTGTATATGCTTCCTCTATTTCAGCGAGCGCACGTCCAAATCTATGGAAGACAAGCACATGCGTTCCAGTACAACAAACATTTAGCCAGTAGTGCCTCCCTTCGACCGGATCATGGAGAGGGTAGATGTTGTCTGTGTTGCTGATACAAAACTGCCCATTGTGGAGATGTAGTAGGCTGTCGTAGCTACAGAGCCCAACGAACCGTCCTCGGGCTCGCTCGGCCTTCAGGAGGCGTTCGATGTCAACGCTCGAGAGCGGTTAATCCATTCCTTATATAGAGTACAGCGGGAGGCTGTTGGGAGCCGCCACCAGGATGGCCCCATACGCGAAGAATGTCGCTATCCCCTTCGCCTTTGGTACGCTCAGGTCGCTGGGGGACAATGTCGTTCACAGTATATTCAGCGCGCGTATTCTTAACGGCAACATGTCTCACCCTCAGACGACTATCGCGTGGAATATGTGCCATCCCGCGAGGAGACAACGGGCGGTGCAAAGCTATCGACGGCTGGAAAGACTCGCAAGACGACGGGAACAGTTCGAAGAACACGCGCAGTGGAAGACGGGGGCGTCAAATTGCACAGCGCCTAGAAGAACAGCAGGGACACGACGGAAGATCACGGGGTGAGCGAAAAATAGCGGTTTGGATGAATTCAAGAGCATGCTCTTGGATGCTGCAAAGAGCACGGGAAAGAGAGCAGCGAATCGCGCAAAATCGAGGGCTATTTCTAGGTTGAAATCGTCAGCCACCAGTTTGACACCCAATGTCCTTGCTTCGGCGCCCATGGCGGCTTCACGTTTCCACCAGCAGAGCGCTTCGCTTCGTTGAAAGACGACATTAGAAGCCAGACAAAGAGAGCTCTCCGCGAACAGACGCGAGAGCTAGAAGCACTGCTGGACGCTGCACGTGCGAGCGGGCGTGAGGAGGGCGCATAGACCTCTGATTCATCATCAAGTGGCGGATGGTGATTCGCGCTAGATATAAACTTTGTTCGCCATTGACTGTGTTGCATCCCGGTTGTGTCATCTTGGTTTGACAGTTTCGTCACCCCCACCCACGCCGGGGGCTACAGACCCAAGCTGTGATCATAATAAATCACTGCGGTGAACATCTCTTTTAATTACAGCCTGTTGTTTGCAAGGGGATGGAGTGAGGGAAAACCAGTATTTGAATAAAATTATGTGTTTGAAATAGCGGTCGCTGGTATGGAGTGTTTGGCATGTCAAACTGGCGCTATGAGCGTCATGAATCTAGCCGAGTATTTCAATGGTCGGCAGCATAATCGTGCGTGGTTGGCTGGCAATGCTATAAAATTCGATTGCCACTTGTGTGACGACAGCGGTGCTGTCAGCGGCGGGGGTGGGGAATGGCTATGTAAGCATGTTGTGTCGCCCAGGCACCGAGAAAAGCTGGTTGAGGAACAGATGAGATCTCAGGGGATGGACTCACCACTTCCTCCGGGCTGATCCCGAGGAACTGCAACGACAAGTTATGCTTGCGAGGGAGCGAGTAGATGCCCACTTCCGCATGTTGGACTGGGTCCTCGAGGGGAACTCCCTCGACGAGTACTAACTAATAGACCCCGACGGCCGGCCGCGCGGGCGCTGGGGTGGGCCGGCAGTCTTTGGCTCCTGGGTTTGGCCTTTGCTATCCGTCCGATTTTCTGTGCTTAGTTGTGCTTACTATGTATGTGAACCAAGTACGCGAACTAGGGCTTGGGCGCTTAGATTTGTGTATACTCCTTCTCAAAATGTGAAGTGCGCCAGAGCTGGCAGTCTCTATACTACTATCTCAAGATGTCTTGCTTCTTCGGAATTTGTTTTAAACTAGTAAGATGTATAATAACGTTTAAGACGCTTCTTTTGTTGCCGAACAGTTACGCCGTAATTTTAAAGTTACAAAAACCGTTTCGTTTTATCTTGAAACTATTTCTAAGTTTCATTAACAATAGTTAAAATAAGGAAAATCAAAATATTTGACAAATGGTTTGGTTTACTCTGGTGAATCTTTGGAGAAAGCAAAAGAATGATATTTTTGAGTTTCTTTAAATAAATTAATATCTCATATATATTTAAAAATAAATGATTCTTTATGAAACCATGATCAATAGACACAAGAAATAATTATTTACGTTGTTTAAAACATTTACAGTTCAAGTATCAAACATACATTAGATACATTTGTCGGAAAATTGTCGGTCGTAACAACCAGTGCATAACTAGCGGTCCCGCTACTCCCGCCCGGCAGGAGTAGAAATTTTCCAAAAAATAATAAATATTCTATTTGGAGATTAGACTTACAATACTTCACAAACAATTTGTAATAATTTGTTTTATTCGTTCGTTTTCACGCTTTTATTCGGTGGTTCGTAATACTGCAAAATCTCAATATTTGTCTTGTAACCTAGCAACCGCCTTTTCTTGCACATTTTAATGCATAATGGCGCGATTCTCCACGTATTCCGCCTATCTTCAGAGGGCTGAACATACAATACAATTATATATGAGAAGTTTTGAATTCTGGTTGGCAAAGGGACTAGGCGCATACTCAAATCTGCTGTTTTTATAATCAAACTTCCACTATTTTAAATTGCCGGAGGTTGTAAGTATTCAACTTTTTAATACGAGTACAGCGGTTAGTGATTATCAAATTACGAGATCATTGTCGGTATTAATTTTCTATTGCCCTTGCTCTCAAATTGCTATTTTGTATTTGTGTATGACACAATGGCTTTAAGTGCAACTGCGATTTGCTCAACTGATGTTGATATAGGAAATAGCTTATTAGCTAAACCGTTCTCTGCTCGATCGTTGGTCGAACAGAATGTTATCGTTCATGAACGGCCTACTCCTGATTTAACAATCCGAAATAAGGGACGAGCATTTCAGAGAGATTAGGAGACGAATGACTGGCTGTGTGGCTGTACAACCTTGCAGAAAGTGTTTCGTTGGCCATGTCTAATGTTTTCCCCGAAAACATCGCCATCATGGACTAAGAATGGCTGCAACAGTATGCGAAGTATTATGTCTGATGCTAAGAAGCATGAGAACATCTAAATCGCATTTAACTGCTTTTAAGACATGGAAAATGTATAGAGCTAGTGAGCGAATTGATTGTCTTATGTCCCTCGCGAGAAGAAATGAGATTCAGCGTCACAATGAAGAGGTAAGAAGATTTACTGGAGTCTCCCCAGAAATTCAAAATGATCTTATCAGCTGTCTTAATGCAATTATTGAAGATGAAATCAGAAAGGAAATAAATGATTGCACATTTATGAGTATTCTGGTTATTGAAGCATCTGATGTGTCCACCAAAGAGCAGTTAAGTGTTATTGCTCGGTTTGACAAAGCAAAAAAAGTTTGTGAGAGGCAATTAGAATTTGTGGATGTAAATATGAACAGAAATTCAAAAACAATATCACAAATTGTCTAAGGTAAACTTGGTGATTATTCTGATATAAAAGAAAAACTGGTTTTGCAAACATATGATGATGCTTCTGTTATTTCTGGCCATATCTATGGTGTTAATGCATTAGTTCGACAAAAGTATTCTTTTGCCCACTTTGTTCATAGTGCAGCTCATAGATTGAACCTGGTCCTTAGTCAGTCAGCCGCATCAATTTCTCCTGTTAAAATCTTTTTCATCAATATAAGTACATTCAGCGCATTTACAAGTAATGCCCCAAAAAGAAAAGCTTTTCTCACATCAAACAATCTTGAGATTCCTGCCCCTGGTGAAACAAGATGGTATTATCGCTCTAGATTAATCAATGTATTGCACAAAAACTCAGAAAAACTTTTAGATATTTTGAGGGGGTTCTTGAAAAACTAGCTGGATGGGACGATGAGTCATTAAGTAAAATAAGTGGCTTACTGCATTATCTTGATAGCTTTCTCTTTTGTTTTCTAGTGTGTGTTTTTTTACAGGATTTTAGAACAGTCCACAATTTTGTATTCCATTATTCAAAGTAGGGAAACCAATTTTAATTATGGCATAAGCAAGATTGACAATTTCAAGCTGTTTGTTGTATCACTTCGCACAGATCAAACTTTCACCGAGTTACCAAACTGCACTAGAAAAAGTAGGCCCACCAGCAACCAGAGCAGATAGTAGATACAATTAAAAACAGCTTTATTTTGAGATTATTGATTCCAATAAAGGCATGTTTAGCGAACGATTTCATGATATTAATCAGTTCGAGTTTTTAGTAAATCCTAAACTATTTACTACCTTGAAGGGCATAGTTCCACGGGAGAAGATCAATCTTCTCAAAGATAAATTATAGTCCTCTTTTTGATATCCCATCTTTGGAGAGTCAAATTTTCTTCATTTACAACGACAAGGACTTTCACAAAGAGTGCAGTAATGAGGTGCTTAAATACATCTACAAATTTAATCTCCAGTCGAGTTAACGTCAACTGGTAAATTTGCTAATATTGAATGATGTCTTGGCAGTGGCAAGTGCTTCAGTAGAGAGGTCGTTTTCTTTCTTGAAAACGATCAAAGCTATTTGAGGAATAGAATGTGTCAAGGTTGGCTTAGCTCTTTTTGTAGAATGTCTATTCACAAAGATATCATTGAACAAAAAGAGGATTCAGAGGTGTTGCATAATAAGGTGGTTGAAAAATTTGTAGAAAAACCCAGAAGGCTGGCATTTCTTTATAAATAATGCATATAGTATGTGTTTTGATATTTGTTCTTATAATACATGGTACTTCACTGACAAAATGAAGCATAACTCTAAAGAATAAAGCCATTCCTATCTACCTGCCCCAATCTAAACAAGTGTAAACTAATAAGTGGAATGCTAAGAACAATCTCTCCCTATGCATTTTAGGAAGTGTCGTATACTATGTCATTTTTTGTGCTAATCCAAATTTCTTCTTTTTATTCAGGGACAGTGATTAGTTTGATTCATTATGTATTAGGGGACAATTGTCTTCTGCATAACGTTTCTCTGAGACACCTTTAGTACCTTTTTAACTAGATGCAGTTTCCACGATTGCCATATTAAGAATGCAGCTTATAAAAACGGATTTTTATAACCTATCGCTGGAAATGCTGTTTCCAAGGCTATGGATTTCAACATTTTTCTGGGGAGCATAGTTGGGGTCGCCCCTTCGGCGTGAGATGATGAGCGGGGGTTACTATTTTTCCTGGCTACGCCACTTGTAACAACCACAAATAGTCTTAAAAAAATGCTGTGAAAAATGGATTGAAAAACGTCACAATACTTAAATACAGTTCCAGAATATTTTTAGTAGTTTTTGCCAAGTTTTAAATAAGTGAAACACGTGTGTAGGTCGAAGTGATTGAAGAAATATCATGTTTGTCATAACAAGATTATTTCGAAAAATAAATTGTTGATGACATCGTATTTATTTCAATTTTTTATACGAAAGATATTAAAAAGGAGGACTATTTATAAAATTTCTTCCAATATTGCTTTTCATTAATGCCTTTCATGTTGTGTTAATTTTCACTTTGTAAATTGATGCTTTTTGCAAAAACTCATTCTTAAATTTTAGTTTGAAAAATGGATTCACCTCCTAAAAAATTGAAGATTGAGGCAAACGGATCTCGTTTAAGTAAACTCTTGATAAATAACGGAACACAAGCTTTGAAAACAACATTGCAGTTTAATATAAATTTTCGCTCGTCAAACCTAAGGGATGAACTTAATAAACCCTCAAATAAAAGTACATTGGAATCATTAAGAAAAAGAAGCGTCATCAACAAAGAGCAATGGAACCTTCTTTATCCATCAACTGATTTGCCAAACCTTGAAAACTTTGATATTTCATTATTGACTGTCTTATTGCGTAACATATGTGGTTTAACAGCGCCACATGGTGGATGGGATGATCCTTCCTCTTCAGATTCTTCAATTTCAGCAAATATTGCAAGAATAAAGTTTTATCGAAACAAAGTGTACGGTCACATAACCACAACTAGTGTAGATGACAGTGAGTTTGAGCATTTGTGGAAGGAAATTTCAAAAGCATTGGTTGGTTTGGGTATTCAACAAACTGAAATAGATGAAGCAAAGAAAGCTCCCCTCAGTCCTGATGAGGCAAACCATATTGAAATATTGAAAAACTGGTATGAAAAAGAACAACAGTTGATCAATGTCGCTGAGGAAATTAAAGAGGCTGTAAGAGCAATAAAAAAAGATTTTGAAGTTATGAAAAATAAAGTAGAAGACATTAAAAAAAACATGCCAACAAAAGCTGACGTAGCCAGAGTTAGAGAAACGAAACAGGACGAAGCATATTCAGTAGTCGAAAACCTTGGAAAGTGTAATTTCAACGGTCATATAAAAGATCTTAACAAGAAATACCTTGAAGGGACTAGACAATGGTTATTTGAAAAACTCAACACTTGGTTTAACGATAGAAGTGAAGATGCTTCTAATGTCATGATTTTGATTGCCGGTCCTGGTGTTGGTAAAAGTGTGTTTGCTGCTGAGTTGTGTCGACGATATTCTGAAAAGAAGAAACTTGCTGCTTCTCATTTCTGCAGATATAATCGATCAGATGAGAGGAATCCTCGAATGTTGATAGAGTCATTGGCCAGTAGCATGTGTGATACATTATCAAAATTTAAAAGTAAACTGAATGAAGAATTACAGAGAAAACATTCCTACAAATCAGTCACCGATGAATTCCGTGTTTTATTAAATAATCCATTGCATTCCTTAAAAGATCATAAACCAATGGTTTTGGTTATTGATGCCTTAGATGAAAGCCAAGTTGCTGGCAAAAGTGAATTGTTGGAATTGATTGCAGAAGAGTTTCACAAACTGCCTAAATGGATTAAAATCTTCATCACCAGTCGTCCAGAACTTCCTGTTCAAAAGGAGTTGAAAGTCATGAATCCTGTGGAGATTACAACTCGTCCTCGTGATAAAAACAACGAAGAAGACCTGCAGAAGTATTTGAGACATCAGTTAAATAATCGAATGCAGGTAAATCACTACGTTCTATCGTCATTAGTTAAAAAATGTGAGGGATCATTTCTTTATGCGTATTACGCACAACTGAGCTTGAAAGAAGAAAATATTGAGCTTACTTACGAAAACATTCAAGAATTGGTCCCTAGTGGGTTAAGCGGTGTTTACACAAAGCAATTCAAAAGAGTAAAAGAATTGTTAACGAAGGAAAGTCCCAGAAATTCTGTTATCTCAGAAACTACTTTCATGCAGTTTCTTGAATTGTTGGCTGCCTGTCGGAAGTCTTTACCATTAACTTTACTGCTTAGTTATTTAGGTTTTTCTGGTGACATCATTGAACTGTTATCCCAAATTTTGCCAGTTTACGATGATTGTTTAACCGTGTATCACAAGTCTCTAATTGATTGGTTGAAATCAGATGGTTACGAACAGCATGAGTTTACAGTTAGTGCAAAAAATGGTCATAAGTTCTTATGGCATGCTTGTAAGAAAGTGTTTGAACAAATTAAGTCGATGAACATTTTTGAAGATCAGAGGAACACTGCTATGATTAAATATGCTTTGAAAAATGGAATTTATCATATGTCAAAATGTGGCAAAAATGTTGACTTTAGCTGGGCAGTAGATGTCAAAGTGGTTTATGCGAAGTTAATGTGTGTGGAAGACATTAACATGTATACCATTTTTTCTGAATTGTCTAAAATCAATAAGGAACTACAAAGTTTTTTGAGAAAAGATGAACATGAAGAACTACTATTTCATTTGTCATTGACGTTACTGATATTTAATGAGTCAGATATTTTAAGGTCAGATGATAGCTTAGCTTTTTTACAATATATTGCAAACAGAATTCATGGAAGTAACGACAAAAGGTTATTGGCAAGGGATTTATTGAAACAAGGAAAGTTTGTTTGGTTTGAGGATTTAGACTCAACATATTTAACAAACCATCATCATTTGACTGTCTCCTTGCATGCTAACGTTACATCTCTTTGTGTGTCGTCCAATGAAGAACTTCTTGCTGTAGGATATGAAAATGGTCAAATATCTATTTTTGAACTTCCTGAATTTACAGAAAGATGCACTCTTGGCACTGCACTCGATGTTTCAAGGTTCGATAAGGGGAATGATGTAAAGAAATTTATGTCCCTGTATGACTATAATGACTATCCATTATTAGATAAATTTGATTTTGTAGAAGGAAACATATGTTGTTGCTCCTTTTCACCTACCGGAAATAGACTGATAACTAGTGATGAATCTACTGAAGTAAAGTTATGGGACGTTAACAATGGACGTTTGTTGTTATGTTTACAGTCAGATGATGTCGTTAATCGTTGCTCTTTCTTAGATTCTAGTTTGTTCATTACAGCAAAAAATGGAAAACATGATCCTTTCGAAAAACCTGTAGATGTGTTCACTGCATGGAATTCAGTAACTTTACAAAGAATCGATCGACGCCGCGTTGTTGATTACCAAAAACTAAAATACACCAATAAATATTCAGAGCTCGTTGCTGCAAACTTCGTCGAGACTTCGTATGTTTTTCAATTCCCAAAGGCAATCGATGTTTTTCAAAGAGAAAATAAGTTTCCACTATTTTCAATTTTAAAGACAACCCACCATTATCGTGATTGTATTCTTTATCATACAAGCCAGAATGGAAATGTTTCTGAAATCAATCAGTTGACAAAATACAACGATCAAGGAGAAATCGTGTTTTGTTTACCAAATGTTTGGTGTCCATGTGGTAATAGGATTCTTAAAAAAGTCCATCCAATCTCGTTTAAGGAATTTTACGTTGTCCCGTATTTTTCCAAGCTTAAAATTTTCAAAACTGATCATCTTTGGAGACCTTCATTTATCGTTGAGAAATTTAAAATTGAATGTTGTTGTTTTTCACCGGATGGATCTTTTTTGGCTGCTTTCGCTGTTGGTGACCACGTCAACATTCATATTTGGAGCATTGAACGTTGCACTATTATTCAAACTGTACCAATGCAACTGAAGATAGCAAAAGGATGTTGGTGGTCAGACGGCTTACTGTGGATATGGGATGGTTCTGATCATCTTATGAAGATATCAACTTCGTCTGAAAATTTTGTAGATTCTACTCAAGCAAAGTATGTTAACATTGGATTTAAACCTCAGAAAATCTTAACATTTGCTGATGTCTTAGTTTGTATTGACGAACTAGATTTTGTTCAAGTTGTTAAAATTACCAAGGGTGGGATACAATACAACAAAAGACTTCCTGTCGATAGTTCAAAATTTAAAGCAGCAGCTGTTTCACCTGATAATTCTGTTATTTTAACTTTAAACAAAACAGAATACACATTATGGAAATGGGGAAATAACAACAATGACCTTCACTTGAAACCTTGGCATACTGCAGAAATACCTATAGCAGCTGTCTTGGGAAAAATTGTTGAAGAACAGGAAACTGTAAATGATCTAGAGTTCAACTGCTTTATAAGTGATAGTAACCAAGCAGCCATAACATTTTACAAAGGCTTCAGATGTATGGGCATTTATGTAATTAATTTTCACGAGAATGGTGATGTGAATGCGATTTGGCATGATCTCTTTCAATTTTTTTTGGAATCAGACCTGATCATACACAAATCTTATTGCATTGGAGTGTTTTTGTGGTCATTGGTTGCTGTAGATTTAAAGAGTGGTGAAATGTGCGCTGCATTTGACGGACATAAAGCGTCTCATATAATTATGCATTCCAATACAGGAACTTTAGCTACAGTTGAGAGTTTTAATTGCAGTATTCGATTTTTTAAACTTAATGTTCCTGAATAAATACATCAGCTCAAACTTTAATTGTAAATTCAAAAACCTTTTGAGAAAATTGTACATAGATGTTGATAGTCGTAAGGATGATTGCTTGTTTCCACCTACTATAGTTTTCTACAGAAGAAGTTTACTTATTCTACCAGGCAATCTTTAAGAAATTATCTATATTTACCAAAAACAAATTTGGACCAATTTTGCAAAAGATCTTTTAAATTTATCGGTACTATTTCTTGGAATGTCTTATCTCCTGCTATCAAAGAATGTAAAATATTATCTATGTTTTGCAATAATCTGAAACGATGTATAATTGCTTTTTATAACACAAATGACTTGTATTTTTAAAAAGTGCGCTTCTATACTAATTGATCATGAATATTTGTTTATTCCTTTCTAAGATTCTACTTGTAGTCTTCATAAATGAATTGTCATTCAAACAGGGCATCCTCTAGATTAGACTACTACGGTAAGATGCTCTGTCAAACTTATTATTATGTATTGTACCTCTGAACAAATTTCACGTTGATGATTTACTTTTTAATAAAAATGTATGGTTAAATAATTTGGTAATTTTTATTTAACAAATAGATAACATTTAACTGTTGTCTATACAGTTAAAGATACACGGGAATGATGTCATTGTGATAAAAACTGAGTGGCAACGAGCCGCCGGGGTAAATCAATGTTTGAAAACCGGATTTTTTCTTTTCTTTTTGCTCAAATACGTCCAATGATGCAACTGGGCATTCTTAATTTTTTTATTTGCCCATTCAGGGATATATTCAGGTAAATATTCAAATAAATTCTCCGTTATTTTGTCATTTAAAAACAAGGAATTTTCTGTGACCTCAATTTCGTGCGTCTGTCCTCTTATAGATCATAGCTCTCGAGTAATGAAATTGCTTAAATTTTTCCGGTTATTATATAATATTATAAATAAGACTTTAACTACATAGAAATGAAAGAATGTCGACAACTCATTCATTGTGAGTCATTTGATAATATGGTGTTGTTGTAGATGAAGATTATTTTATTTAAATTATAGAGTGACTTTCTTTAGACATGCTTTCAAGAACTGTAAATACAATTTAATATCGTGGAAATAGGTTTTGTATGCTGTTAAAAATTCACATGTATAAAAACACCATTTGGGTTTTATGGTCATTAGTTGAAAAATGTGAGAGATCATTTTTGTACGTTTATTATGTACATATGACCTTAAAGACAGAAAATGTTATATACTGTCAACAATTCCCGTATGTAAAAACATCATGACATCATGTCAATAACTGTGATAAAAATAAATAAAACTTTTAGGATTTTGACATAAGTTCTTTTGAATTGAGGAATTAAATTTTTTTGAATAATATTTTCTTGATTAAAACATTGAAGATTATTAATTCTCACTTTCTGTCTTCAATGGTTAAAATAAAATTTATCATCATGATGTTGGGGTCGATACAACGTTGAATGTACAGTTTCAATTTGTGACAATTGTAACCGTCGCATTGCATGGTTTGTGTAAAAAATTCTACATTTAAAAGCCATGCAGTAGGAGATTTTGTGAAAGAGACTTCAGACATACACCTTCTTGCAATGGTTGAAAGTCTTTCAACATTCTGTAAGCTGTACAGGGATTTATGGACAACATTGCTGCATCTTTCATAGAAAGACCATTTTTTACTGGAATTTTGTCGCAATCACCTCTTTCAATACTATGATCTCCATCCAACTACCTTTGCAAATTTGTATCAAAAATACAATAAAACTATTTGCTGATAAAGTCTAATCGAGTTAACTCATATGATTGGATAATACCAAGTCCTGTAGTTCCCATTAATAGCCACTTATCAACACGGACAGACTTCACATCACCATCTGCCAACACTTCCCCGACACCCTCGTTACCACCAGCTGCAGGAAGGGAAGGTTCGATGGGATACAATCCTAAATAAAAAGTGACGGACCAAGAATTTCAAGGGAGGGGAGGCATGCATATAATGGCATCAATTGCACTCCTCACCTTGAAGCACATTCAAATCAGCTGGATTGATGGGTGAAGCCAACATTTTTAAAAAAACACTTTCTCTGTTGAATTCTGGTAAAGGATAATCTTGTAGACGACAAAATCAAAGTAGAAATCAGTGGCAGATCCAGATGAGGGTTACAGTATTTTCACAGACACAGACAGCCTCTCCAGAACTTGGATAATTTATTGATAATTTCGTAGAAGCACTATTGCTAATGCGCATTTAAAATACACGACGTGTTTTTTTAAAATAGACATGTTTTGACTTCTCATGATGCCATCTTTAGTATAAGTGAAATAAAGAACAATACAAGGTTTATATAAAAGTGATATGATACATAAATTACAACAATAAAAAGTAAATAAGGTAAATTAATGGGGAGCGTCCTAGCGTATTATAAACTAAATATTGTATTGAATTTAAAAACTTGAACATTGAGGTCAGCGTTAGTTTTGTTAATGTGGAGTGCTTCTTTGATATTGATAATAAAATTGACATGCATGTGTAGGAGCTAGCACTAAATTCTTGCATGAATTGCCATGTGTAAAATCGTCGACACTGACTACAGAGCAACTCAACCACTTTTAAGGTAAAGTTGACAGTTCACAGGAATATTTTTACCTGATAACCTTACTTGGGTCGCCATATTCTGAATAAACTAAAGCTTTAGAAGACCGAGGTATACTTTCAGACGTGTTCGAAAATGTCCTCGACAATTTTACAGCTTTGCTTGAAGTCAGAAACCTGAAGAGAACGCGTTGCTTCGTCCAGTCTGCTATGTTCGTGGTATTCAGCGTAATTTAATATAATGGCACTCTGAAGGATGGGAAATAACGTCGTCAGGACAACAACCGAAATTTAATTTTAAATATTTACAATAAAAAGTCACTTCAAGATTAATTTTAAGCTATGAATTTTTGGATGGCTTCTAAAAGGGAACATAATGGAAGGTATTTCAGAGTACAACTGCTTCGGTATTAATTTTAATTCGAGGCTCGAACAACAGTACAATTACTACAATACTGAATGATATATATATAATTCTGAGTCTGAACTTCTACATTACTATATTTTACAGCCGTCTATGAATTTATGATATAAGTTGCTTTCTCTAACATATTTCGTTTAATTGCATCGTTTTTCTTTCATAGATACAAACGTCGAGCTGAACAAAGAGAACCTTGTAAGTAAAAAACTTTCAACATCGATAGCTTCTTCATAATTCACAGTTTTATAGATTACGCGCTCGAAATTTCCACTAGTTCATAATATTATAGAAATTGAGAGCGAAATTAGAAGAGTCATACTTTAGTATTCATAAGGAAAAGGTTGTTGAAGTTCTCCTCCATTTGTCGTTGTTTTATTCATACAGTTGTTGTGGCTGCTGTCGTTAATAAATAGCGAACGACTCTTGGCTTGCTCAGTGCATGTTTAGTTATTTTAATTGAATTTTTGTCCATTCTTAATGTCTTTTTCGTTTATACATTACATTAACCTGGGTAATGTACCGTAAATGCTCGCTTTAGCGCCGCGGCGATTATTTAATTTTTCCGATTTTGAATGCGGCGCTTATGCGAGAGCGGCGTTTAAGTGGGAGCGGCGCTTATTAAATATTTTTATCGCCCCAAGAAAATAACGAGTAGACAAAAGCTATTTTCATTATGTTATATTATACAATTTATTGAAAATAATGTCGCATAGACGCAGAAGAAGGTTTTCCTAAATTTTAAAGTTTCCTCAATATTTCTTCCAAGCTCAGCACTAAAATTACTCAAATACGGCGCTTAAGTTAACCGGCAGCGGCGCTAAATAACTGTTTTGGATTCTGACTGCGGCGCTTAACCGAGGGCGGCGCTTATCTATTTGTTGCACTTGAGACAAAAGAGACATGATGTATTGTCTAGAATCAACACCGCATTACGTTACTGCATATATTTAATATGGAATTTGAGCTTTGCTCATATGAACTTTTAACATACTTCCAAACAAAAATGAGCAGGAATATTCAGTTGATTAATCTATGATAAACCTTTCGCCCTTTAACTCTGCCATACCGGTCACAAGCCTGGGACTTGTAGCGTATAAGGTTCTCTGCTTATGAGCAGACTTGTCTCGTTAACACTAAGTAAGACCAAATTACGACCTAAGTACGCCGCGCCACTAAGTACAACCAAATTTAACTCTTTAAGTGGTAGTGTAGCAAATCTGCATACAATCTACGAAATGACAAACAAATTTTCAAGAAAATTCGTCATCTAAAGTTTTACATCAAAGTTAACAAAACATGCATTGAGCAAGTATACATGTAAACGATGTCAACAACAACAAAATAGCAAAAACTATAACAACCTTTTTCTTTATGATTACAAGTATGATTCTACTGAAACATTTACCCCGACGCTCTCATCAACTATCATCTCATAGAAGTCTTGAACTCGTAATGTCAAGAAGCAATGTCTAAGTTTGTCTGAGTTATACAAATCTTTCTCGTGGACTGAAAACCTCCATATAACAAACTGTCTATTGTTTAGGTTGAGTATCTTCGAGATGACGATACGTTTGTGGAGTACTTGAACACATTTCTTTCATCGCCAGTAAGTGTGTATTAAATATGCACTTTCATCGCCAGTAAGTGTGTCTAAATATGCACTTTCATTGCCAGTAAGTGTGTCTTAAATATGCATTTTTTCATTTTCAAAAAGTCTTCAACAATATCAACCAAGCTTAGCTTGACTTTCCTTCTTCAGATTTGGTGACATAAATTTTCTAAATTTCAAATTTTTTTTGATCGAATTATTTCAAAGTTGGTCATGATTGATGCTTTCAAATCAGCGTTTATGGTTGAAAACATTTTATTGTTTGATGTTTGACCAAAGGAGAGCATCTACCGACCAACATCATATTATTTACAGACAAAACTTTTGAACAAAAATGTTTAGAAAAAGAGGTGGTACAACCCTCCTGTTCACCCTAAAATAAGTTATACTTCCCCCCGCGAACCAACCAGTATGATTTTGAAACTAACATATTTTTTTCTGTGTTGATTTTATGAAGATCAACTTCCAGTGCTTTGAAACAAGAGTTTACTACGACAAACAATTTGGCCTTTTGGAAGAATTTACACAGAAACTAGTCAAAGAAGATTGTGGAAATATTCAAAAGAGATACGATCCAACCAGAAACGAAGTCCAGACCAGTTACTGTGTCACAGTTCTCGATCACCTATCGACTTTAAAATGGTTACAAAAGAACAGATTAGATGAATTCGCGAGAAGTATGATTTTCGCAGAATACAAGCTATCAAAAGCTCTTTCATCTGCTCAGGTAACATATGACGTTTGTACTGGAGACTGTTGATAGAGCGACGATTGAGGCAGGGAAGTTGTATCTCCCCTCCCTCAATAATGTTTGAAGTGTTTAGTGCAGGCTGTTGACAGAGCGATGATTGAGGCGGAGAAGTTTGAATATTATGTTGTACTCAACAAATTTTTACTAAAAGGACAGTCACTTGTACCTCCCTTCCCTCAATAATGTTTGAATTGCTTGGTGCAGGCTGAATCCTACAGGCTCTGGCTTTCGAGAGGCCCGTTGTGTCTAGACGTAATTAGGTTTTTGTTTTTGCAATTCCGTGTTAGTTCAATGTTCTTAATTTAGACCATTTCTGCTGATAAAAATCGTACGATCTGCTGTTTAAATGAACGATAATCGAAACTTATAAAGTATTGGGTTATCCCAGTTTCAACTTTAAATTTACTCCTTGTTGTTGATGCTACGAGTTTCAAAAACAAGCTGGAAAATGCAAAGGCAAAGGAGCGTTAGGAACACAAATGTCATCAAGAAACTGAACTTAGTGGGAGGAATAGATATCCTACTTAAAGTCCAACTACATTGTCTTAAGCCTGTTTTCCACCAGCCACGTATCGTAACGTATCGTAGCAAATCGTAACAGGGCGCATGCGTGCTTATGAATTTGATGGTCAATAGGTGCGAGCACGCATGCGCCATGTTACGTTTAGCTCCGATACGTTACGATATGTGGCTAGTTGAAAACAGGCGTAAGCCTTCAGACCTTGTAATTAGTAATCCGTCACTGAGGGTATTCATGTTGTACTCAAATGATTTCTACTGATGATTGATTCTTGTCAAATTTCATTTCTAATTTAATATTATGAAACCAATGTAGATGGTTGAGATTTGTTAGTTTTGTCCATTTATAGTATGAAACAAGACTGCTATAGTTTTTGGTTTAATGGTTAAACTAAGGAAGAAGCTTATGAAACAAAATCATTTTGCATCTGATTTAGGCAAATTATTTCGAGAGAATCACTGGAAACATCTCACGAGGAAAAACATTCATTACTGAAATGAAGACATGTGGAAACATCTCACGAGGAAAAACATTCATTACTGAAATGAAGACTTGTGGAAACATCTCACGAGGAAAAACATTCATTACTGAAATGAAGACATGTGGAAATGTCTCACGAGGAAAAACATTCATTACTGAAATGAAGACATGCGGAAACATCTCACGAGGAAAAACATTCATTACTGAAATGAAGACATGGAAAAATATCTCACGAGGAAAAACATTCATTACTGAAATGAAGACATGCGGAAACATCTCACGAGGAAAAACATTCATTCCTGAAATGAAAACATGTGGAAATATCTCACGAGGAAAAACATTCATTACTGAAATGAAGACATGGAAAAATATCTCACGAGGAAAAACATTCATTACTGAAATGAAGACATGTGGAAATATCTCACGAGGAAAAACATTCATTACTGAAATGAAGACATGTGGAAATATCTCACGAGGAAAAACATTCATTACTGAAATGAAGACATGCGGAAACATCTCACGAGGAAAAACATTCATTACTGAAATGAAGACATGCGGAAACCTCTCACGAGGAAAAACATTCATTACTGAAATGAAGACATGTGGAAATGTCTCACGACGAAAAACATTCATTACTGAAATGAAGACATGGAAAAATATCTCACGAGGAAAAACATTCATTACTGAAATGAAGACATGCGGAAACATCTCACGAGGAAAAACATTCATTACTGAAATGAAGACATGCGGAAACATCTCACGAGGAAAAACATTCATTACTGAAATGAAGACATGTGGAAATGTCTCAAGAGGAAAAACATTCATTACTGAAATGAAGACATGCGGAAACATCTCACGAGGAAAAACATTCATTACTGAAATGAAGACATGTGGAAATGTCTCACGAGGAAAAACATTCATTACTGAAATGAAGACATGCGGAAACATCTCACGAGGAAAACATTCATTACTGAAATGAAGACATGTGGAAATGTCTCAAGAGGAAAAACATTCATTACTGAAATGAAGACATGCGGAAACATCTCACGAGGAAAAACATTCATTACTGAAATGAAGACATGTGGAAATGTCTCACGAGGAAAAACATTCATTACTGAAATGAAGACATGCGGAAACATCTCACGAGGAAAAACATTCATTACTGAAATGAAGACATGGAAAAATATCTCACGAGGAAAAACATTCATTACTGAAATGAATACATGGAAAAATATCTCACGAGGAAAAACATTCATTACTGAAATGAAGACATGGAAAAATATCTCACGAGGAAAAACATTCATTACTGAAATGAAGACATGCGGAAACATCTCACGAGGAAAAACATTCATTACTGAAATGAAGACATGGAAAAATATCTCACGAGGAAAAACATTCATTACTGAAATGAATACATGGAAAAATATCTCACGAGGAAAAACATTCATTACTGGAAATGAAGACATGTGGAGTTTCTTCTAAAGAAAGTTTCAACGGTCATTTGGACGACCAGTTTAGAAGTACGAGTCCCTCAAGCACAGAGAAACAATCTTACAAAAGCAACGACAAAACAAACGGTGACGTCAACGCTGGTGCTGACATCAGAACTATTGACTTAAAAGAAGATGTTTACGTTGCTTCAAATGATGAAGTGCTAACATCAAATGTCTCGGATAACAGTAATAAAATAAAAGGATTTGATGAAGAAAAAAAGTCCAAGAACGAACATTCAGATGACTTTGTTGCGCTTAAAAATGATGAATTGATAAAGAAAAGAAACGATGGAGATTGTTTCTTGCATAATAGAAGAAGCTCCATGGATTCTTTGCAATATAACGGAATGTCAGTGGAAAGCGATCGAAAAATCAATGATAACGACGTTAACAGGAAGGTCTTGCTTTCATCAAAAACAGCTATGGACAAGCTCTAAGACTTCCTGGTCGACACTAAAGGCGAAAGATTGCTTCTGCTTTGGCTGCAAATTGAGTATTGGAAACATATTAAAAATAGCAAAGAAAGAAAAAGGTAAACATCGTTTGAAGCAGAGATAATGTGTAAAAAAAATATATATGTGAAACAGAGGTTGTGAAACAAAGGAAAATAGTGTATGAAACAGAGAAGTATGTGAAATGAAAATGATGTGAAATGCAGGGAGTACTGTGTGAAATAGGGAAAATAGTATGTGAAACAGAGGAATTACTGTGAAACAGGAAAATGAAACAAAGGGGGTACTGTAAATAGGGAAAATATCGTGGAACAGAGGAGTACTGTGTGAAACAGGAAATGAATGAAACAGAGGCAGTATTTTATAAAATAGGGAAAATATCAATGTGAAACAGAGGGTACTGATGCAGGGAGAAAATAATGAAACAGAGGAATTTGAAATAGGGAAAATATCGTAAATGCAGGGAGTACTGTGAAATGGGGAAAATATCGTGAAACAGAGGAGTACTGTGAAATAGGGAAAATCGTTTGAAACAGAGAAGTACTACAATGTGAATAGGGAAAATATCGATACGAAACGGAAGTGTGTGAAACAGGGGAAAATGTCGTGTGAAACAGAAGTGAAATGATACAGGGATCAGTGAAACAGAGAACAATGAAATAGGGGAAAATATGTGAAACAGAGTAATGGTTAAAATAATGTGAAACGGAGGGAGTACTGTGTGAAACATTTAAAATATCGTGTGAAACAGAGGGAGTACTTTGTGAAATAGGGAAAATATCGTGTGAAACAGAGAAAGTACTGTGTGAAATAGGGAAAATATCGTGTGAAACAGGGGGAGTACTGTGTGAAACAGTTAAAATATCGTGTGAAACAGAGGGAGTACTGTGTGAAACAGAAATGTGAAACAGAGAATATGGGTGAAACAGGGAAATATCGTGTGAAACAGGGCACTGTGTGAAACAGAGAATGAAACAGAAATATCGTGTGAAGCGGAGAAAACATTGCATGAAACACTGTCGTACATGCGTATTTGAGCTGCACATGCGCATTTTGCTTGTTCATCTGTAGATACGTTCAGGAGATGAAACATGTTATCAGGATTAGACATGTTATTAGGATTAGCTGAAGATATGAATGAAGAACAGAGAATCGTTGAAAAACCATTGTTAAACCATTGTTAATTCATTTTTATAATGTATAGTGAGCATTTGGGGAATTAAAAACAATGCGGGGAACAAAATAGTAAGTTGTAGCAACTGAACAAAAGCTAGATAGATTTTCTGAAAGTTTCAGTCATCCTTGAGCTCGCTGGGATTAAAAAATTCTCGCCTAGCATTTTTTAGCTCTCCCAAATATTAACTCTGAACATTCTTTTTGTTCGATAGGTGTAAAAGGTTCACGTTGCACGAAGTAAATATTTCGAAAAAAGTTCATTCATCTTCAAAAATGTCCCATCAATACACATTCATACACCAATACATATTTCACCATATCCCACCAACGCTCAATACATCCATAGACCACATCCTTACAAAACATCACAATCCCTCAACGCTCAATACATCTATAGACCACACCTATACATCACACCAGAATCCCTCAACGCTCAATACATCCTCAGACCGCATTCATACAGCACACCACAATCCCTCAACGCTAAATACATCCCTAGACCACACTCATACAACACACCACAATCCCGTATAGTGAGTTATTCCAGCTGTAGTTTGCATTGGGAAAGCAACATATCATTACAACACGTGAGTCGCACATGCAACAAATGAAAACCGACGCACCTGAGATCAAAGTCAGCACATGGACGCAAAGTGACGACGCCTCATCACACGAACGCTGGGAAACGACAGCTTGAGGTGAGGGATGATGTGATTTCTACAGTTGTGTTGCATCAAGAGATAATTTATTGCAGATAAATTTTTATTCAGATATACGCAACGACAGAGAAGGAAGAATTCGGATTTCAAAAACGACCAATCAGCGCGTTTCCAAGATGTTGTGACGTGGAATATTTTTCACCAATCAGACTTGTCATTGCTCCGAGAATCGCGACTAGTTTGAGTGTGAACTGGGAATGTGTTTATGGATTTTGTGGGATATAAAATGTGAACTGTGAATGCGTTTGGGGATTTTGGGGGATATAAAATATGAACTGTGAATGTGTCAGGGATTTTGGGGGATATAAAATGTGAACTGGAAATGTGTTTAGGGATTTTGGGGGATATAAAATGTGAACTGGGAATGTGTTTGGGGATTTTGGGGGTGTAAAATATGAACTGGGGATATGTTTGGGGATTTTTAGGGTGTAAAATAGGAACTGGAAATGTGTTGTGGGATTTTGGGGGATATAAAGTGTGAACTGGGAATGTGTTTGTGGATTTTGGTGGATATAAATTGTAAACTGTGAATGTTATATGGGATTTTAGGGGACATAGAATGTGAACTGTGAATGTTTTGGGAGATTTTAAGAGATATAGAATATGAACTGTGAATGTTTTGGGAGATTTTGGTTGATATAACAGGTTTGTCATTTTGTATGAAGACATGATGAGCCCAATTTCATTATATTATAGTGGATATACGAAAGATTCTTACCTCCAGGGAGCGTCTGTGATATCAACATTTCGTCCAACGTCAGAGAAAATATAAAAAAACAACTGGATCCGCCATACGAAGATCTGTTAGATGACGTAGATGATCTTGTGTTGACGTGCCTCAAAGAACCATGGGATAGTCTTTGCCGTGATGAACGAAAAGAATACGAAATGGTGAGGAATTTATGAATTAATCAAAACTCCATGATAAAGATACATAGTGTGGGAAGTTGGATAGTAAGAACGCAGACGAGATGGGGAGACAGATATATGATCTAATTGTTAACGCTGATCAGTATAAACCAAGTTTCATATCTTAGATACCAAAGAGTGACCAGTTGCGTTACATTACGGTGAAGTTGAACGACAAAATTTTACGACGAAAAATATCTTTGTTATCGAACGAAGTAAGTTCATTGTAAAACTAGAAACAGAATTTTCAATTTTGCGTTTCACGTGTTTCTAAACTTGCAACACTCGTCAGAGTTTATTGCGGTAAAATCACAGACATTTAACATAAAGAAGGTTATCATCAGTAATTTTTGTACATGTGCAAATATTTCAGTGATTTACCACAAAACTAACCGAGAGGTCGTTTTCGTCCCTGGACAGTTTCCTCCCCCCCCGACAGTTATTCCCCCCTTCCCTGGCCACTTTTTTCTCTCCACCCCCTGGACAGTTTTCCTCCCTTTCCTAGACAGATTTTCTCTCCTACCTGGACAGTTTTTCTCCCTTTCCTGGACTGATTTCTCCCCTCGATGGACGGTTTTTTCTTATTCCCCTGGACAGTTTTTCTCCCCTCCCCGAATAGTGTTTCGTTGAAATCATCTGTGAGCCAAATTCAATTTATCATGGGGGGAATTCGGACACTTGCATGAGTGTTCGCTTGCATAAACCCCCCGGAAATGGTCTACTGTATGCTAGTATTCTTGGGGTGAACCTGCTTTTCTGAAGTCATTCCTATTCGTTCTAGACTTCTAGTTGACAGACGTTAAGGACCAGTATAAAGAAAAAAATTAGCTTTTAAAATTATAGTTTCATTGAAAGGAGCTTGCAAAATGACAGTGGACTTTGTAAAACAGTTTTGTCAAATCTCTTTGCATTCTCGACTTATTAAAGTTGTGTGATGTCCGATTTATGGAGAAAGTGACCTCACGTTGCGTAATGAGTTGCTGCAAATTTGTAATTTGAATGAAACACGTGTGCAGAAATTCTCATCATGCATAGTGACGTCACTTCCTCCACAAATCGTGAGAATGGAGAATTTTGATTAAACTGTTATAGAAAGCTCTCCGTCATTTTACGAGTTCTTTTCAATGAAATTATAATTTCAACATCATATTTATCGTCTTATCGTTTTACTTTCCAGAACTGACTTTAGTCTTTAAGATGGAATTTCGTTGTAGCAGAGGAGACGCCATTCACTGACACGTATTGATACCTGTTTGACAAATATGAGTTGAACCATTTGATGGAATCAGTACTAAGACCACAGGCTTTAAGTTTACCCAAAAGTAGTTTATGATTCACCATATCAAATGCTTTTTTAAAATCACCAAACAGCAAGCCACTAGGATTGTCATTATCAAGATCAGATAATATCTGATCAACAATTTTAATAAGAGCCGTTTCAGTAGAATAGCCATTCCTAAAGCCAGATTGAAGAACATAAAACATGTCGTTGGCTTAAAATTCGCGAAGCAAACAATTATAGAGATGACGTTCAAGAACTTTGGAAATTATCGATAGCGTAGAAATAGGTCGATAATTATCTGGATCTGTAGAATTTCCATTTTTAAACAGGGGAAAAACTTTGGCTGTTTTCCATGACTGTGGAAATTGACACGAAGTAATACAATGATTGAAAAGCTTTGACAACGACGATGAAATAATTGGGGCAGCAGTCTTCAAGATCTTTACACTAATATTGTCTGGACCATTTGCTTTTGATGAGGGAATATCTTGAATTATTTGAATAACCTGCTCAGCACTTATTTCAGGAATATCTAAACTCAAATTGCCAAAAGATAAAAAATCGTTATCATTTATAACAGTGGTATCATCTAAAAGATTAGAAGCCACATTTGCAAAGTGCAGATTAAACGCTTCAGCAATTTTTTTGTTATGATGGAAAAGAGACCCATTAAATAACAATTCTTTCACTTGAACGGGATCATTTGTATCACCAGAAAGAGATTTGAGTATTTTCCAAAGCTTCTTAGGATTTTTACGATTTTCAATAAGAGATGACTTGAAATAGACTTGTTTGGCTTTAAATACTGAATGATTTATTTTATTTTTAATTTTTCTAATTGACTCCCACTCTTCATGGGAACGAGAGGATTTCGCTTTTTTGAGAAGCATATCTCTTTTTCTCATCATTGAAGATATATCCTTAGTAAGCCATTTAGGCTTATTCACCTTTTTAATGCGCTTAGAAATTAATGGGGCATGTTGATCAAGTATATTATTGAAGAGAGAGTACCACATAATTACAAAATCCTCAATATCATCGAAGATAAATGATGTATCCCAAAGAACATTTTGCAAAGAACTCCGAAATTTTTCTTCATCAAAGTTTTTCATATCGCGATAAGTCATAACAGTATGCGTTTGCATAAATTTCCCACAAAATTTTTTAAAACGACGCAAGCAACATACAGGTAAATGATCAGAAATAAAAATATCAGCAGTCCAGCAATGAGATAAAAATTCGGGTTTTTTGACCAAATATGATCGAGTACTTTACCACTGATTGGACGTGTAGCATCGATAATATGTTGTTGAAAAAATAAGGATAACAAATACTTAACCAAGCGATGATGCTTTGATTAAGTGTCAGGATAATCGATATTAAAGTCCCCAAGGATTAACGTTTCTTTACCTTGCATGGAAGCATTTTCGATATTCATACCCAATTGAACATCGTAATTTTTGTCGGAGTTTGGTGGGCGATAAATTCCACCTATAATGAGACTTCTCTTTGACTTAAATGGGCACAATTCCATCAATAAAACTTCCAACTCGGTAGTTTCCAAGTCATGTCTTCTTTTAGCAATTAAATCACGATTAACATATATAGCAATACCACCACCATTCAAAGTTTTTGAAGTACTATTCCGATTCCTTATATATAAGTCAAAGCCAGGTATATTAAACAATTCAGTAGAGGTTTGCGAATTCCAAAACGTTTCATTTATAATCAAAATATCCAGACGTTTCTCGTTATAGTCATGGCCAAGGATTTCAATTTGCACTTGTTCAAACTTTGTTTCATTCAAACGGTTTATATTCCATTGGCCTTCCCGAAGGTCACGACTTGGTAGACTAAAACATCTATTTCCTTGCGGGGAAGACACAAGATTTTGTGCAGGAACCGGACCTGGATTTAAATGAATGTCGCCATCCAATGCCAGTAATAAATAGCGATGAACTAAAGATAATATTACAGACGCCATTGCTTGTTTAGACATCACCACAATTGCACAGCCAGATTGAAAGTTACTTGATTTACTTCATTTGTTCGGCGTAAGCAGCGACACTTTATTCTTCATATTTATAAAACAGGTTTGAGAATGCGATTTTGCCACATAAAAATAGTTTAAACAACGATCACTACTGTTATCCAGTATTTGATGAATAAAAATATCTTTAAAAATTAAACACCAAATCAAAATAACTAAAAATGAGGTGTAACTACACGAAACACGTCTAGTCGCCATATTGGAGATACATTGTTTCTGCTAGGATATATCTATTGGACAAACAGTGAAATGCTTAAATTGCTCAGTGCAGATTCCAATGAATTCAATCCGGAATCATATGAAAACTTGAGGCAGTTCAATGAAGAAGATAGATTAATATCACGATGATCGTCGACATTTAAAAGCTCTTTTGCGTTTGAGATTAACTGCAGAACAGACTCTTCAAGTTTGAACACTTCAGCAAATCGCAACGTAGTATGGTAAAGAGAATCAATACGAAAAACGCCAAAATCCTGATCTGGACTTCCTTCGAGGATAGCATTACAACCCAAAATAGAGTTGCGAAGGAGTCTCACAAAGTATAACCTGTCTGCCATGTTTTAGGGTTGTAGATCATTGAGTTCTATAAAACCTGGAGGGGAAATGTCAAAGTGCTGAAGAACATTCATCTGATGATAAGTATTAAATCTTTTCCATTTGCCAAAATCATTTAACGCTTGGCTGAATCCCGGCTACCCGGGATCATGTAAACAGCCCCTAAATTTTCTCCTATTGTAACTGAACACCTGTATATATATATATACCAACCGTACGTCCTGTGTCCCAAGTGCAGGAGTCACCATTTTAATATGGTGATAGCCGTGATGGCACATGGTATATACACTTTGTTTATATAAAAACTATGTATATATATGTACAATTAACTGGCAACTTGTAGCTATGTCATTTTTTCTGATGATGTTTTTAAATAAAACCAAAACATTGCCGCGTAATTGTCTTGTTTTATAACTTTGAGGTTACATTATGAGTTACACTAGGTTACACTATTTGAGGTTACAAGATGCCTTTTACGGATTATGCTTATTTTTAACTTTTTGGTTCCAATCAGTTTTATATGTCTCTTTCAACTATTTTATCATATATATAGTTGTCCAAACTCTTAGGCTCCATATTCAGGTCATTTATGTCTTAAGAGTTGGAGCTGTTAGTACCAACATATTTTGCGTTTGTATTCGATAAAAATGGCTCAGGTTTTAGCCACACTAACTTTTTCGTCCTCTCTTAGCTTATGGACAGACCTTTTGTGTTCACTATTCAATAAAAACACGATTCAATTAGCAAAATTTCCATTTTGTGGCCACTTATTAAGTGCCATAATCACGTTTGCTGCTGTGGAGGTTTCAAATTGACGTAAGTTTCTATGAAGGAAACAAATGTTTCCGCTTGGTGTACTTTGCAAGATTTGCCGATGTTCAATTAAGAAATAAAAGATGTTTATTGTGGAAATATTAAAACCGAGGAGACCTTTGGGACTACTCGAAAGCAGATCAGGGCAAAAACATCTTTACATTTCTTTTATAAAATAACAATAATGTAAAAAAAATAAATTCAAAGCAAAAGGTTTTAATATTTCCTATAACATGTATTCATGATTGATTAGCAAATACTCTTTGATGGATTTAATTGATGAGGCTCAGCTATCAAACAATCAACGCAGGCATTTTATTGTTTTTATTTTGTATAATGCAAATTGGAGTTGTCAGTTGTCATTCGGGGAAGAAAAGAATACGAACTTGATTTATTTCTTCCACTATTATATTAAAGTGAAATGAATAAGGAGTGTTTCGAGGAGAACACACTGAAAACTAAGATGGAAACCATTTTGACGTAATTTCTTATTATAGAATATAATATTTCTAGATGAATTTTCAGGCTTGCGATAGCTATTTCTTGTGGAAACGACCGCATGTAGTGATCCTGACATTACGAATAATTTATGCATGTAAAAGTTTTATCGTAACTTGACATTCTTCACTTGTAGACTATTAGAGAGGACATAAATTCGAGAGCTTAGATCAAATGGGTGAACTACAAATGTAAAAACAGCTGCCCATTTACTGAAATTCACTGTTTTTAATTAAAAAAAATTCTTGCATGGTAGCAACAGTTGGTGGTAGCATAACTAATCATTTGCCATTAAATAAGATTCGTTTAATTTCATCAACATTCTTTCTATCTTAGCAACCTCCAGTGTTTGGCTGCGACTCTACGTCTGCTACGATAAGGAGCTTCACAAATTCTAAAAGCAATCGCATTGAAACAGATAGCATCACCTTTCTCAAGAATTTTTACGGTATATTGGCAAATTTCTGATTTGAACAAACTCTTCACTCCTCTCGACACAGATATGCCTGATTTAAACGAATTTCGCCATATATAAGTAGAGAATTTTGTTCAAAGAACAAATTTTTTTAATTGTTTGGTTTCTGATGTCTGATAAAATGACTAACAAAGCGTTCAAAACTATACTGGCGATATTGCCAAAGTGATTCTTGATGCTCTTATGATAACTACTAAGTTCGTCTATTCTCACAGGATATGATTCGCACCGTTTTAAATGTCACTATTTTTAGACATGGGATTTCTTGAGAAAAACTGCTGTGATGTGAGTCATAAAAGGTCTCTGTTAGTCTTATATATTTTCTATCAACCGAAACTTGTACTTAACCTTCTAAGGGCAATATGTAGTGAAATACATCATAATATAGCTACTCCATGCGGTCTACAATAAAGAACTCGAGATTGACAAACGTTTAGGCGGACACACATAATGTGTGTAGCATCGTTTTATGACTCTCTTGTGGCCAGATGTTTTCTCAATTAAGTTTCGTTTCGTAGTTATTGCTCGCGCAAGTAATGGCCTTTAAAGACAGTTTTCCATTACGGTCGCTTCGCCCACGAGTGTGAAATCTGTTTTATGAGAGTGTTTGCCGCCCGCTGGATTTTATTTCCATTATTTTCGAAAGAGATGGCGGGAAATTTAGCAAAACATGGCGGCTCGACGTCGACTTTTTCGGCTAATTCTTTTAAAACGAAGATTAAGAAAGCAAAAATACAAGAAAAGATTTTGGGTAAGGAGTATATTACAAAAAAGGAAAGAAAAAGGAAAATACCATACTCTAGTTGAAGAAGCTATGCTATATGACGAAGAATTTTTTTTCGTTTGTTTCGTATGACTCTTTTCAAGTTTGAAGAATTACTGACCTTGGTTGCACCAAAAATAACACGCTGGCATGCAAGAAGAGAAGCTATTGGACCTGCAGAAAGGCTTTGCGTCACTTTAAAATATTTGGAGACTCCTTTAGAACTATTGCAGCAATTTACCGTTTAAGTGATACTGTTGCGGGACGAATTATAGGGGAGACTTGTAAATCTTTGTGGAATGTTACGGCAGAAATTGGTTTTTTATCTGTTCCGAGTTCGTCTAAAGAATGGCTAGATATAAGTCAAGACTTTGAGAGAAGGTGGAATTTCCCGAACTGCGTTGGAGCGATTGACGGTAAGCATATCATTATCTATTGTCCTTCACGAGCAGGATCTATGTTTTTTAACTACAAGAAGTTCCACAGTGTTGTCCTGATGGCATTTGTGAATAAAAAATATCAATTTACGATAGTTGATGTAGGCGAATATGGACGTCTAAGTGACGGTAGCGTTTTTTCAAGTAGCCAACTTGGTATTGCTATGGAACAGAACAAATGAAACCTTCCACACTCAAGACTGCTACCTGGG